CATTTAGACCCCTCTAGGCACATACCCACAAGGAAGGCTCTTTCTGTAAAGATTATTTCCACTTTAAAAACTCTATTGTGAGACTCCTAACTCTGGGAAACGAACAAGGGGTGGTAGAAAGGGAGGTGGGGGGGTGACTGGGTGACGGGCACTGAGGCGGGCACTTGATGAGATGAGCACTGGGTGTTATTCTATATGTTGGCAAATTGAACACCAATAAAAAATTAAAAAATAAAAAAACCCTCTTGCAATTTTGATTTATTGAAATAGCATTGATGATGAAATAATATCAGGAATATTGGCATTCTAATTAACATTTCCCATGCTAGAACTGGAAAATATCTCCATATTTGTACATTTATATGTCTTGTCTGCAAGGACAGCTTCAAACTTTTCTTAACATAAGTCCATCTAGGGACGCCTGGTTGGCTCAGTAGTTGAGCATCTCCCTCTGGCCCAGGGCCTGATCCTGGAGTTCCGGGATCGAGTCCCACATCAGGTTCCCTGCATGGAGCCTGCTTTTCCCTCTGCCTATGTCTCTGCCTCTTTATTTTCTGTCTCTCATGAATAATAAATAATATCTTTAAAAAGTCCTTCTAATTCCTTATGACTTTACTCCTTGATAACTTTGTTAATTTGGATGACACCATTGGTTTCATCTGTTGCTAATTGATTTCTATTGCCATATTAGAAAACAATTAGGTTGTATACTTCCATTATCTATCACTCTTCTTTATTGAGAGCTTCTCATTTTTCTTGAGAATTATTTCATATGAAATTACTCGTCATTGTGAAAAGTAAACACACTGCAGTTGTAAAGTGTTTCAAATAGTGCCTGACATAATCACTCAATAAATCTTTTGATCAAGTCAAGCTATATCTATATAATGCTCACAACGTGCCCTATGTTTTCAAAGACAAAGCAATCTCGGTCTTTCATACTTTATTGATGGAGTTTTCTCCTTCCCTGTAATTCCTTCCATAACATAGGGAGCTCATATGATATGCATGGTTGAGAAGATACTTGGTGCTTGCCTAAAAGATAAGTGATGGTTACACTAGTATACTGTTCACAGCCCCTATCCAACCCTAGTAGTTCCCCATTCAACCATACCCAATCCTGCCTGTCCTGACTCTTCAGAATAATCTTTGGTCCCTGGAGGCAGTAGTGTGTAGTATTAAAAAGCCTGGGTTCTGGACTTAATTCCACCACATAATATGTAACTTAGGGAAATTACTTGAGTTCATTTGTGACTCTATTTCACCATGTGTATTATGTTGATAAGTATCTGCTTCATAAAATTCTTGTGATCAAATAAGTTAACACATGTAAGTTAAAACAGTGAATGACAGAATAAAAGCTCATTATGTTAAATATATATATATATATATATATATATATATATATATATATATATATATATATTACCTCTTCTCTTTTCATAAAATCAAGCCAGTCCCCTTCTTTTCAAATCATCTCTGAATCAAATCTTCATCTTCTAAACTCTTCTACAGTCTAAAAATTTGGGGCAGTGAAGTGTTTCTGATCCCACAGAAACGATGTGATCCCTGCCCCCACTCCAATCACTCTAATAGCACCTCCAATATACATCTGATGGTACTGAATGGCTTTGATTTATGGTCAATGTTGATAATACACCTGCCTTAGACTAAATACAAAATCGTGAAAAAAAAATCGTGTTTCTTGTTTGTCTATTTTTAACACCTTAGAGATTTTTAAAGATGTATTAGCCTTAAAATATATTTTATAATTGATGAAAGTAACAGAAAAGCAACTATTAGTAAACTGAATCCAGCACTGTACATGTGCTCAAACTGCAAAGAAACACACACACACATATGCATTTCAAACTGGCAAAATCTGAATAAGCTCTTGGATTTCCACTGGGTAAAACTGGGTGATGGGTACATGGAATTTCCTCATATTTTTTCACAGGTTATGGTGAATCTACAACTATTTCATAAAAAAGAATTTACAGGGACGCCTGGGTGGCTCACCGGTTAAGCGGCTGCCTTTGGCTTAGAGCGTGATCCTGGGGCCCTGGATGGAGTCCTCCATCGGACTCCTTAGGGGGAGCCTGCTTCTCCCTCTGCCTATGTCTCTGCCTCTCTCTCTCTCTCTCTCTCTCTCTCTCTCTCGCTGTGTGTCTCTCATGAATATATACATAAAATCTTTTTTAAAAAAATTTACACACACACACACAACTCAGGACCAGAAAGCTTAAGTGACTTTCCAAAGTCATAGAGGTAGAGCTGAAAAGTGAATACCATCTAGTGTCTTGACTACCAATCCAGTTTTCTTTCCACTCCATCAAGGAATCCCCATGACCTTAACATAATAGAGATAAACAGTATTCTTCTGAATTATCTCAAGCACATTGCTACTGACAATGCTAACGGTAGAAAGTTCTGATTGGGTAGGTTTATAAGCAGACTGGCATATCAGAAAAGAGGCACTGATAGAAGTATCTTTTTTAAAAATTTTTTTTTTATTTATATATGATAGTCACACACAGAGAGAGATAGAGGCAGAGACACAGGCAGAGGAAGAAGCAGGCTCCATGCACCGGGAGCCCGACGCAGGATTCGATCCCGGGTCTCCAGGATCGCGCCCTGGGCCAAAGGCAGGCGCCAAACCGCTGCGCCACCCAGGGATCCTTGATAGAAGTATCTATCTCAAATAGCTAGAATTAAGTGAAACCCAAATATAATAGAAGGGAATAAAACCAGAAATTAAAGAATCAGAAAGAATAAAGTTGGTTCTTTGAAAAAATTAATATATCTAAATCCCTAACAGGATGAAGAAAAAGGAAGAGAACATATATATCACCAATATCAGAAACGAAAAGGGGATATATTAGTTTTCAAACATTGAAAAGGAATCATAGGATATTATGAACAAAATTTATGCCAACACATTTGAAAAGTTCTGGAATAGACAAATACAATTCAGCAAAAATAACACAAAAACAAATAAAAAACCTGAATAACCTTTGTCTGTTTATATTTGGTGTAATGCACCAGTTAAACTATCTTACAAAAGCTTTCTGTGAAGAAAACACAAAAGACAGATTCATGGGTGAATTGTTCTAAACATATATGGACTAACTGGTTCAAATTTTATATAAAATCTTTCAGAATAGTTTCCAACTCCTTTTATGAGCTAATATAAACCTGACACAAAACACAGACAAGTATATTAAAAGAAATTATACGACAAACCTCTATTTAACAGACACAGGAATAATTTTTAAGTAGTATATTGAATCTAGCAAAATGAAAAGGCCAATAAGCCAATATATACCATGTCCAAATGTGGTTTATTCCAGGAATACACGTTGTTTTACTATCTGAAAAACAAGGAATGTAGCAATTTACATTAATAAACTGAAAGGTTTTTTTCTTCTTTTTTTTTTTTAAGACCATGATACATGCAGAGAAGGCACTGGATAAAATATTTACTCACAATTAAAAAAAAACTTGGCAAATTGGAAATAAAACAATTCTCTTCATTATTAAAAGTAATCCATGAAAAAATTACAGCTATTATTAGACTTATGAAATAGGGAATATCTTCCCCTAAAATCAGGAACAAGGCAAAGATGTTCATAATCATTTCTATTCATCACTGTAAAGCAATGAGGCAAAAAATATATATATAAGATAAAGTTCAGAAATCAAGTAAGACTTTCTTTTGTTATTGACAGGATTGTACATAGAAAATCCAAAATAATCCACAAACTATTTGAATAATAATTCAAGTAATAATAATTTAATTTATAAATGTCACTGGAGAAAAAGATCAATGTACAAAAAGAAAATTGCAATTTGTGCTAGCTGAAAATAAAAAAGGAAATAAATAAAAATATTTACAAAGCAAAACATACCACATACCTAGAAATAAATTAAAGATATTCAAGACCTCTACAATTAAACTACAAAACACTGTTAAGACAAATTAAAAACAACGTAGGTAAATGGATGATTATGTTTAATTCAATATTATAAAGATGCCAATTTCATTCAGTTTACCACATCAAGTCAATGCCATTCCAAGCATATTCTCAGCATACTTATGAAAATCAGTAAGGAAATTCTAAAAATAATATAGAAACAAATGAGGAGTAGAGAAGGCAAGACAATTTTAAAGAATAAAAAAGTTCTAAGTCTACCAGATTTCCAAATGTACTGCAAAACAGCAAAAAAGTTGAGAAGCCATCTCTAGCAATCTAAAAAAAGATATGTTAAGTTAACAGACGGCACTTAACCTTTCTGAAGGGATTTCTAGAACTACTTAGCCCCTGCTGTGTTAGCAGACTTCAGTGTCCTCCTATTGCTAAGACCCTAGTAAGCACAACATGCTAGCTGACAATATTTCCTCTATTCCCATTATATCCACTTGCCCATAGCTGCCACCTTCCCTCTCTGTACACATCACAATGGTCAGGACTCTGGTTCAGTTGGTGCAAACTCTACTTTGGTTTCTGGATGAGCACAGGAGCCAGTCCTAAACAATTCAGAGCATTACATTCCTCTGGCCACAGTGATTGGCTAACTATTGTCAAGTGAGACAATCAGATTCTATTATAATGATCATATTGGAGTTGCTCCAAAAGACCCCTCTTTTCTCTCTGAGACTTCAACCTAAAAAAAAAGCAGCCTGGATCTTCTGGGACCCACAGTAGAGAGAAACAGCCTGCCAGGAATAATTGTTAATACAAGGCGATGCACAGCCAAGACACAGACACAGAATTCACCCAGATAGTAGCTTTTTAGCCTCAGGATCCCAGCCATCTCTGAAGCTAGTTATGCCCAAGGACTTCTCAATAATCAAACCAATAAATTCCCTTTATAGCTTACAAAAAATGAGAAGAGTAAAAAGACAAGCCAGAGAAAGGTTAAAGGTATCTGCAATGTATGTATATATAATATACACAAGCTATATATATATATATATATATATATATATATATATATATAGTATATAACACACGGTTTTATATATGTATGTGTACATAACTAGACATAGAGATACACATACATACAATAAAGGACAAGACTAGAAGGAAACTCTTCAAATAAAAAAGGAACCAAAAATGGGTGCCCTCATAAAAGATATCCAAATAGACAATAAGCACATAAAAAAATATTTACCATCATTACATATCAGGAAACTGAAAAGTAAAACCAAAGCAGGATAGTACCATGTCCTCTACTGGAGGGCTAAGATTAGAAAGGGCTGGTCAGCTATGTGGAACAATTGCAATTTTCATGCATTGCTTTTAGGATGAGCTTTTAGTCCATCTTTTTGAAAAACTGGAATACTCAAAACTAAAGCTAAAGTCTACCCAATGAGTCAGTTATCTCATTCCTAAATACAAAACATATACCAAGAGAAATAAGTGTAAGTCAACAGAAAAGAGCAATTAAAAGGCAAGCTAGACATCATGCTGAGAAAAGAAGCCAAGCATATAATTGTACATATTGTACTTGAGCACTTAAAGATCAAGAGGATCAAGAAGCAAACCTAATGAACTGAATAAAGTCAAGATTGTGGTTTCCTCAGTGGAGCATTATTGAGAAAATATAAACTTCCTGGAATCCTAGAAATGTTTTTTATCAGAGTGTGTACGTATGTAAGTGAAATTTCATCAAGCTATATGTCTAAGATCAGCACACTTCGTGCACATTAGTGTATATATACTTCACTAAAACAACAGATGAAGGGAAAGTGGCATAGGTCTACTTTCAGAAATGATGGGGAAACATAACAGAAGGGAAAAGTGCAGCTAGATCTATCTGAAGAAGCACAAACCAAGTAATTTTCATCTTTCCCAAATAAAAAAAGCAGAAAAATCTGTTTGAAGGTATCAAATATAAATTTTCCTCCACTAAAATAGGACACCCTGTCTGATGTTTACCTCCCTTATACCTAATTTTCTTTACTGTCCACAACCCTTCTTGCTGGAGATCCCGATGGACTTGCATAGATGTCTCTCCTTGAGCAAAGTGGTGTGATGGGATTGTACTATGCAGATAACAATCCTGCTCCAAACTTGGGCCACCTCTATACAGTCAGTTGATGTGCCAGGGACTATAATATCAGCAAAATGACAATGCTGGACCCTGCCAGAAAATCTTTTTTTTTTTTAAGATTATTTATTTATTCATGAGAGACACACACACACACACAGAGAGAGAGAGAGAGAGAGAGAGAGAGAGAGGCAGAGACATAGGCAGAGAGAGAAGCAGGCTCCATGTAGGGAACCTGATGTGGGACTTGATCCCAGGGCTCCAGGATCACGCCCTGAGCTGAAGGCAGGCGCCAAACCATTGAGCCACCCAGGAATTCCCCAAGAACTTGCCAGAAAACCTAAGAAACTGTGTAGGACCATGATAGAGGAATTGATGGAGAGGTCTAGGGAGCTGCTGGCTCTGAGGTTAGTAGGCAGGACACACAAAAGCTTTTACTCATGTAAAAGCATTTACTATTCTGTTTCAAGCTAGCATTGGTTAGTGGGTCCTAACATCAGGAAAAATGAGCAGGAAACTGAAGCCCACCATGCACCCCTATGCCTCTGTCTCCATATTATGGCCCCACTAAACAAAAAGTAATAGCGCTTCCATCTGCCTTCCAATTCTCATGCAAAAGCTCTTCTAGACAATTCTAACCTGGAACTGGATATAAGGAAATGATTCTGAGAAACACAGTCCAAAATATGTCCAAATTAACACATGCATACCAGCTCAACTACCTTTACTTCCAGCTTTCTTATTGCAAGATCCCTTTTTTTTTCCCCCTTTTTAAACTCAAAACATGGGGTCCAGTTCCCAGCCATGAGCAAGGACCAACAACAAAATACTAAAACAACGCATCAGATGTGACTCTTTTTTTGGAGACTTTTCACTTATTAATTTCTGTTAAAATTACTTATTAGACAGGAAAAGCTTTTAATAGTAAAAAGTGATAGCCTCAAAAACTTTAGGTTCTCTTAGTAAATAAAAAGGAAAAAAATGGGTAGGCAATTTCCAGTATGTTCCATACTAGATCAAAATGAAACTACCAATCACAAGGAAAAAATCACAAAAGAAATTACAAATACCAAAGTATTAATACCATAATGACTACATACCTGGAGAACGATGAGCATTAATTAGAAACTAACTGAACAAACCAAAAAAAAGAAGACCACTCCTGCCTGCTTATGAAAAACACCTTGAATCCCCTATGGGCCCAAAAGGTTTTATAATGTAAAAACATTTACATCTCAGGCAAAATGAAAGTACCTATAATAAAACGTGGTTAGAAAATAAATACATAAATAAATAAATAAATAAATAAAAAGCGGTTAGAGCGGAAAAGGTATTAGAGGGAAATTTATCACCATAACTATGAATTCATATCAGGAAACAGAAACTGAAAAATCAATGAGCCAGCAGTCCACTTTACAGGTGACGTGCTGATCTGTGCTTCTTATATGAATTTTCTTCCACACAGGAAGCAATGTTCACGAAGGCATTACCACCAGGTATACATAAACAGGTCTCTCTCAGCTGTGAGTTCTCAAGACTTCAAACAGATAAGCAACAATTTCTTGCTTTCTTACATTCACGGGGCATTTCCACAATGTTCCATCTATGATTTGAAAACACCTTGCAGACATCCCCACATTTTTTATATTTATACACTTTCTCTAGTGTGAGTTTTCACATGTCTTCGAAAGTAGGCAGGACACACAAAAGCTTTCCCACATTCCTTACATTCATAGGGTTTCTCTCCAGTGTGGCTTCTTACATGTCTTCGAAAGGATGAGGGACAACTGAAGGCTTTCCCACATTCCAGACATTCGAAGGGTTTCTCTCCAGTGTGCATTCTTGCATGGACAGTAAGGTATGAAGAATGGCGAAAGGCTTTTCCACATTCCTTACATTCATAGGGTTTCTCTCCAGTATGTGTTCTCATGTGGATCCTAAGAGCTGAGGGATAAATAAAGGCTTTTCCACATTTCTTACATTCATAAGGTTTCTCTCCAGTGTGAGTTCTTATATGTACTGTAAGGTGGGAGGAACTAATGAAGGCCTTCCCACATTCTTTACATTCATAAGGCTTCTCTCCACTGTGAGTTCTTAAGTGTTCAGTGAGGGATGAGGAACGGCTAAAAGCTTTCCCACATTCCTTACATTCATATTGTATCTTTCCAGTGTGATCTCTCACATGTGCTCTGAAGGATGAGGGACAACTAAAGGCTTTTCCACATTCTTTACATTCATAGGGTTTCTCTCTACTTTGATTTTTCACATGCGTGTTAAGGGAAGTGGGAAGATAGAAGGCTTTTCCACATTCCAGACACTCATAGGGTTTCTCTCCAGTGTGTTTTCTCATATGGATACTTAAGGAGGAGGGACAATTGTAGGCTTTCCCACATTCCTTACATTTATAGGGTTTCTGTCCTGTGTGTGTTCTGACATGTACAGTGAGTTTTGAGGACTCACTGAATGCTTTCCCACACTCTTTACATTCGTAAGGCTTCTCTCCAGTATGAATTCTTATATGTATTATAAGGTGAGAGGAAGAACTAAAGGCCTTCCCACATTCCTTACATTCATATGGCTTATCTCCACTGTGAATCCTTTTGTGTTTGGAGAGTGAAGAGGAACAACTAAATGCCTTCCCACATTCCCGACACTCATAAGGCTTATCGCCACTGTGAATCCTTTTATGTTCTGTCAGGGATGAAGAACAGCTAAAGGTCTTCCCACATTCCTTACATTCATAGCTCGTCTTTCCAGTGTGAATCTTCATATGTGCCCTAAAGAAGGAAGAACAACCAAAGGCTTTTGTACATTCTTTACATTCATAGGGTTTCCCTTCAGTGGGATTTTTCACATGCTTCTTAAAACAAGCAAGAAAATGGAAGGCTTTCCCACATTCTTTACACTGATAGGGTTTGCTGCCAGTGTGAGACCTGATGTGATTCTTAAGGGATAAAAGATCCGTGAAGGCCTTTTGACACTCATGGCATTCATAGGACTTTACTTCAGTAGTTCCCTTGTCTATGTTAAGACGTGAAATTTGGCCAAAGGCTTGTTCACACTGATTTTCTTCGTTACATTCAAAGATGTGCTCCACTGGACTTCTTTTAAAAATAAAAAACACATTATTAGCAATAAATAAATTTTTACCACTTTCAGTGACTATGTACACTTTCTGCCCTGTCAAGTTACAAGTTCAAAGTTCTCAACAAGGGGTCTACAAAAGCCAGTATTACCACTGAAGTTTGTTTTGACATACAATTTTTCTGATAACTGCTTACAGCTGAACTGTGTGTCAAACAGTAAAGATCTCAATGTCATTTTTGAAATCTTGAAAAACTCTTTATGAAATCACAATTTATGACTAAATTCTATGTACATGTTTTTTAAGTTTTGTCACATTTTAAGATTCTTTCCTGAGGCATTACATTTTCTTTTATGAATGGCACTCACCTCAAATGTCTCTCATGGCTTTTGTTCTGATAATAAGTATCATGGTATTCCGAGTTTTGGTGTAAAATGGATGACCAAGAATCATTCCTTTTGAATCTTACTATTTTCTGTTCACTGGATATTTTTTGTTCACAAGTATCTTGTGCTGATTCATTAGTTTTAAGTTGAATCTTAAAACCTGAAACAAAAAAGTAAAGGTACCTATAAGCAAAGGACTTCTGGCAGTGTTGCCGTTTCAGGACTTTGGCAATATACACAAGGGTCAAGATAGTCAGCAACTAAGAAATGATTCTATGAAGACTGAGACTGATAGTAACACATATAAGGAATTATTAGGAGAACAAGGGGCACCTGCCTGGCTCAGTTGGAAGACCATGTGACTTGATCTTGGGGTCATGAGTTCGAGCCCCATATGGAATGCAGAGATTACTTAAATACATAAAACTTAAAAAGGAAAACAAAACAAAAAAGAACCAGTTCCTTCCTAAAGTACACATGATACTAACAAGAGGAATTCGGACAATCTTTCCCAAGAACTAGGAAAGTAAGAATACTGATAAAATGTCAAAATAGTAATGCAAGGTATCTGGAAGATCAGACTCCTCAAACAAAACAAAATTTTGTTTTGCTCTTATTTGATGTTTCCAAATGTCATATCCCCCAACCAGGACAGTTTCTCCCCAGGATTCTTGCCTTCCTGGTGCTTCCCCTGGATAAGTCCTTGTTCTACTGTCTCCAGGTCCTCCTCTTGTTTCCATTGGGAGATCAGATATGGTGTGTGCAGTGGATATCCTGTTAATGCAGAAAGGCAAAAAAAAAAAAATGCAGAAAGGCTTATCAGAGGGAAAATGATGAGGAACCATAAGCATTTCCATGAAGACAGGGTCAAAATTTTGCTCTTCTAATACTCTAATTATGGGCAAGAGTAAACTGAATTTCAACAAAATATTTGTCAAAAACTTTTTTAAAGCAGGGTCAGTATGGGGGAGTAGACAATGACAAAGACAACAACACAGCCTCTGATTTCTAGAATTGATGTGACATTCATTATCTAAATTTCCAATATTAGAAGCTAAGTCAGGACATTTTGTTCTCCTCTTGCACATAAATAATCTCTCAGAATACCAGTCTTAAACAAGGTTACTCTGAGATCATGATAAAATAAAACAAGGCCACCACATAATTTAATCTAAGGTTGACAAAAAAAAAAAAAAAGTCATTACGCCACCCACAAAATACTCAGTAACAAAATTTCTACTTCTTTTTGTCAGCATCCAATCTAAAGTGATCATCTGTGGACTGGGTTGAACAATGTCCCTTGAAAACGTATGTCTAAACACATCAATGAGACAAAATCGCTCAGAAATAGACCTACATAAACAGTCAGCTGATCTTTGACAGAGGAGCAAAGGCAATACATGGAGAAGATAGTCTTTTCAAAAGAGACTAAACAACGAGCCATCAACATTCAAGAAAATATAGACACAGACACAAAAAGCAACTCAAAATGGATCACGGGGATGAAAAACCTAAATGTAAAGTGCAAAACTATGACACTCTTTGAAGAAAACACCATATGAAAAGATAGTCCAATATGTCCTGAGGAAAATACAAATTAAAACAATGAGAAACCACTGCACACCTATGAGAACAGCAAAATCCAAAACACTGACACCAAAAATGCTGGCAAGGATGTAGAACAGGAATTCTTTCACTGCTAGTGGGAATGCAAAATGGTACAGCACTTTGGAAGAGTTTGGCAGCTTCTTACAAAACTAATCTTAACATATGATCAGGCAATCACACTGCTTGGAATTTACCTAAAGGAGCTGAAAACATGTCCACACAAAAACCTACACATGCATGTTTACTGCAACTTTATTCACAACTGCCCAAACTTAGAAACAATTAAGATGTCCTTTATTTTTTTTTTAATTTTTATTTATTTATGATAGTCACACAGAGAGAGAGAGAGAGAGAGGCAGAGACACAGGCAGAGGGAGAAGCAGGCTCCATGCACCGGGAGCCCGACGTGGGATTCGATCCCGGGTCTCCAGGATCGCGCCCTCGGCCAAAGGCAGACGCTAAACCGCTGTGCCACCCAGGGATCCCTTAAGATGTCCTTTAGTGGGTAAATGGGTGAATCAAACTATGGTACAGCTAGACAATGAAATATTATTCAGAATTAAAAAGATATGAATTATCAAGCCACAAAAAGCCATGAAAGAACCATAAATGCATATTACTATGTGAAAGAAGGCATTGAAAAAATCCATACACCTTACCACATGACTCCAACTACAACATTCTAGAAAAGCCAAAACCATGGAGCAGTAAAAAGATCAATGGTTGCCACAGCTTAGCAGGAAAGGAGAGAAGAACTGACAAGGCAAAGAGGATTTTTAGGGCAATGAAATCACTCTGTATGATACTATAATGATGAATATATATCATTACATATTTGTCCAAACCATAGGATGTATTCTATGTTGAATGAATTCACCAAGAGTGAATCCTAATGTATAAATTATGGACTCAAGTGATGATGATGTGTCAATTCAGGTTCATCAACTGTAACAAATGTATCATTCTGGTAGAAGATGTTGATACTACCTGTACAGAGGTAGGGCACACATGAGAAATCTTTATATCTGCCACTCACTCATTCTGCTATGAATCTACAACTGCTCTAAAAAAAAAGTAAGTGTATTAAAACAAAATGTCATGTACACCTGAAACCTCAATGTCACTTTATTGGAAATAGGGTCTTTGTAGATTAATCAAGTAAAGTTGAAATTATCTTTAATTTCATTAAAGATATGGATTTGAATGGGTCTTAAATCCACTGACTAGTGTCCTTATAAGGAGGGGCATAAAACAGAGGGAAGAAGACCAGGTGAAGATAAAGGCAAAGATCAGAATGACCTAGTTGCATGGGGTGCCCAGATGACTCGGTAGAGTGTGCAACTCTTGATCTTGGGGTTCTGGGTTCGAGCCTTATGCTGGGTATAGAGATCACTTCAAAATAAAATTTAAAGAAAACAAAAAACAAACAAACAAAAAAAAAAAAAAACCCCAATATCATCACAAACCAAAAAACACCAGGGATTGGTGGCCAACTACCAGAAGCTAGGAAGAAACAAGGAAAGATTGCTGCCGTAGAGCCTTCAGGAGGAGCATGGTCCTACTGACACCTTGAGACTTCCAGTCTCCAGAAATGTGAAAGAATAAGTTTCTGCTGTTTTCAGCCAGTTTGTAGTATTTTGTTATGAAAAGCCTAGGAAACCAATACAGCCTGCTTCCACAGACCCACCCCTAAGTCACTCAACCAAAGTACAAACCCTGTAGTATAACTTTTTAACACCTCTTTTCGGAGATATACCACAGCTCCCCATGTCATCTGTTCTCCCTCCCTGCGCTAATAATCTCCCCTTGTTTACAGGTATGTTTCTGAGTAAAGAGCATTAACATCAGTAAAATTCTCACAATGACCCAAACCACAAACTTCCCTAAGGCTCAAAGTGACTCCTGAAGTCTATGCCAACACTTTCAACACTTAATAAACTTCAAGGCTTTTAACCACAAGAAAAAGAAAAAGGCAGTTCACCACACAGATGTTTATTTTCATGGTGAAGCCACTAGATTCTAAGTTCCTTGGGGTCGGTGACCACGTCTGTCTTATTTACCAATTTATTCTAATTCCTCAGTCTAAATCCTAGAACAAGGTCAATTAGTAACTTGTTTTCTAAACAACTAAATAAAGAAATGTTGCCATTCTTACCTAGTGAGGCCAGGTTCTGAAAGTTTTCCAGCATCACATCTCTGTAGAGGCTTCTCTGAGCAAGATCCAGCAAAGCCCACTCCTCCTGGGTGAAGTCCACAGCCACATCCTCAAAGACCACAGAGTCCTAAAACATCCCACATACATTCTTTTCAGAAAGGTACCAACTCTCCCCACGTGTGCAGGAAGATGGATGAGGTTGCTAATACCGGGGAACTGAAAATCATAGGAAATTCTGAAGATTTTATGATCTCCCAAAATCTACCTAAGAATTCAGACATCAGATCTTTCTCTTGTATCCATTATATCCTTCCTAATCTCATCCTGTTTCATGGATCTAACTACACTTCTAAAACACTAAATTGATCTCTTGCACAGTTTGATGGTGACCAATTACAATCTTATAATGATCCAGAACAGTCCAGAGCCTATAGCAGAAATGACAGAAATGCTCTAGAGATGAAATAATTTCCACAGACACTAGCAATTCCTTGTTCCACAAATAATTTCACCTGCTTCCTTCTTTCCTACCATAGCAATCAGCATAACATGAAAGACCGAGTCAAAGCCAAATGAGGTTTAAATGCATAAAATCACACTGAGGGATGGGGAACTTTCTTTGTTGGTTTCTTTTTTTTCCCCACAAACCTGAGGCCCAGAAGCCTGCAGAAATATAACTTTCCATTCAGGCCCACAGCTGGCCATATTGTCTTTTACTTTAGCCAGGGGGTCAGCAAACTACAGCACATGGGCTAAATCCAGCCTCCAACTTGCTTGTGTAAAGTTGTATTGGAACACAATAAAACATTTGTTTATGAACTGTCTGTGGCTGGTTTCATACTAAATTGACAGTTTAACTGTAATAGAAACTCTATAGCCTCAATGCCTAAAATACTATGTGATCCAACAGAGAAACAGATTGCTGACCACTGCTCTAAACAATTAGGAGGTGGAATGGAAAATTATTTTGGAGAATTATTAGCTCCTACCTACCTGTGTCATATTTTTCTGTAATTCAGCAGCATTTCTTTCTTCTTCCATGTTCCCTTCATGAAGAAAGAGCACTGAGAAGTTAGTTAGAGCTAAAGCAGGAGAAAGAAAACACAAGAATCCAGGTCTCCCCACAATTTCCACAACTCATGAGCCCGGATGCTGCAGCACATCTGTTATGAGGGACCACTCCCCTCAAAACACACACACACACGTATAGAGCATACCCTTAAGACACCCAACCAAACACACACTGAGTAAGAAGGTAGTCTTATCTCCTGCAGAGCTAGAAAAAAAACATTGCTGTGGTCCTTGCTGACCATTAAAAAGAGGAGGGAGAAAACGTTAAAAGTCCCATTTTGTAAATTAACCAAAATCTAAAACAGTTTAGCTGTCAACTTCCCATAATAATGAGAAACAAAAAATATCAGACAATGCTTTCAACCATAAAAATACACTCTGTGTCAAATCCAAAAAAGGACTTACATATCCAATTTCCGGGGGCTCCACTCCCAGTATTTCTTACTTCTGCACCACTGGCAGGCTAACAGGAATTACTCCTCAGCCCCTGACCACTGAATCCACCCCTGCAGGGCCTCTGAAACTCAGTTTCTGAGAAAGAGTATCAACTGACTGAATACTACATGTAGGAGGCAGAGAAGATTGCCACACTGTGACTCCCATGTTAAAGTTTGCCTATGCAATACAGCAGCACAGAACAAGAACACCCAAAGTGAAGTCAGCAACATGTCATATCCGATAGCAGCTCTATTACATAAATTTAAAGTAACGAAAACTAACAGCTTTTTTCATGCAGTGGATCAAGCAGCATATTTTAATATCTATAAAAATTGCAACATTCTTTACTGTATTAATAACATGTGCCATTTGAGCAACCATGATGGGAGAATGACCCCACAGAGAGCTTTCCTCTCATAGAAGTTCTGCAAATCAGGTATTATTACAGTTTTTATAGTTGAGAATTCTTAGAATCGATTAACCATATACTCAATGCTACCAAGTCAGAAAGTGGCCGAGGTGTACGTAACACCGGGTGTACTACACATACAAGTGTGTGAATGCAGGCCTGTTTGTCTTCAAACCCTAAATTCCCAATGAGTGTATTTCTGAACATACACCTTATAATTTAGTTGTTAGTGAGGCATTACAAGCAGTACCAGAGTCTAGCCTAGAATCCTGCTGTGCACTATGGAGAGTAGACAAACGAAGTATTCTATTTAAATGTTTTATCTTTGAGCACCTCTTGACTAAGACCCATGTTCTGATCAAGAGCGCTTCCCTTAAGGCCCCTACCTCTTGTTCCTTCATTTCAATTTACTTAGGTAATATTTACCCCAATCCCACTACATACAGCCACAGAGGATATCGCACTGAACAAAATAGAAAAATCCTGAAGGACAGGGATGTCATGATCTTCTGAGGGAGGGCAGTAAACGAACAAACTGTATCAGGTAGTGGTATAGGATACATAATAATGCAGCGCACACACACACATTTACCTTTAACCAGTTAGGACTACTTTAGTAGCTGAGAAGAAGCAGAAAATGAAACAAAGTGTTTCAGATAACACTGGGAATCCATAGCTGATGTGGGACATATATTTACATAGTTCTATGAATATCATCAACTCCCAGAGAAAATAAAATCAGGATGAGTGGGGTAACCGTTAACTTAAAGGTTGGAAAAAGGACAGCATAAAGGTTTAGAAAAATGAAAATAGGACAAAATTAATGATGTTTTTAAAAACTAAAAAAGGAATCATAAAAAGGAATAATGTGCCCCTTGAAAACTAATAAAATCAACAAAGCTTGAACAATTTTAACAATAGAGCATAGACAAAGAGTTATGAATGAGTCATAATCACAGATTTTGAAGGGAGAATACAACAAAAAAGCTAAGATAATATACATGAAAATGTACGGATAATGAATGAATTCCTACAGAGAAGTACAACTTTCTGGCAATGATCTAAAATAAATACAAAACCTGATTACATCCAATCCTGAAAGAAAATACAACAACAACAACAACAAAAAAAAAAACAGTAGTTTAAAACAGGCCCACAAAATAAATATAAATTACAAATTTTTTCACAGGCAAGTACACCAAATAAATAAAGGATTCATAATTCCATTGTAAGAGTGGAAAAATACTGTTTTCCTAGTGTTTCCAAGCCAAAAAAGTACAACTCAAGACAAAATAGGAAAGATCTCAAACATATAAATGCAAAACACTATAAAAGTATTAGTATAGTCAAGAATTGAATAATGAGGGATGCCTGGGTGGCTCAGCAGTTGGGCATCTGCCTCCCGCTCAGGACGAGATCCCAGGATCCTGGGATCGAGTCCCACATCAGGCTTCCTGCATGGAGCCTGCTTCTCCCTCTGCCTGTGTCTCTGCCTCTCTCTCTCTTTGTCTCTCATGAATAAATAAATAAAATCTTTAAAAAAAAAAAGTGACCAATCTATATCAATATCCATTGATGACCATTTAACACACTAGAATTAGAGAATAGCTCTAATTTGGAAAAAAATAATTAATATCTATGACCCTACAGCAAATATATGTTTATATTTATATTTATATATTTTTTAAAGAGGCCAGTATGGAGCCTAGGGGAGCTTGAAATCACGACTCTGAGATCAAGACTTGCACTGAGACCAAGAGTCTGAGGCTGGGGTCACCTGGTCGGCTCAGTCCATTAAGAGCCAGACTCTTGATTTTGGTTCAGGTCTTGATCTCAGGGTTGTGAAATCCAGTTGTAATAGAAGCAAGACTCCCCCTGATGATGAGTGGGGAGTCTGCTTAAGATTCTCTCTCCCTCTCTAAAAAAAAAAAAAAAAAAAAATCAGACCCTAAACCAACTGAACTATCCAGGTGCCCCCACAAACATCCTATTTAAATTCTGAAATGATAGGGGCGCCTGGGTGGCGCAGTGGCTGAGAGTCTACCTTTGGGTCAGGTGATGATCCCGAAGTCCTGGGATCCAATCCTGCACCGGGCTCCCCTTAGGGAGCCTGCTTCTCTCTCTCTCTCTGCCTATGTCTGCCCCTCTCTCTCTGTCTCTCATGAGTAAATAAATAAAAATAATAAAAAATAAAAAAAAAATAAGTAAATCCTGAAATGATAGAATAATTCCCCTCTGGGATCGGGAACAAGGCAAGGATGCAAATTATATGCTCTCATTTAGTACTGTCTGTCCACTGAAGTGGAGGTCCTAGCAAACACACTCAAGAAATCAAGAACGCAAGGTACGGGAATATAAGAGAAAACGCTGAAAACGGCCCATGATCTCACTCTCGGGGTGAAATTCAAAATAACCTACAGATAAATGGTTAAAATTTACAGCCGCATTGGAGGAAGAAGGGGGTTACAGAGATACTAAGTAATCAGTTCGCGTTTCTGTACCTGAATATAATGTATCAAACTGCTGCCCACAGGCAGGGTAAAATTCAATGATGAAGTATCTCCTGCACCGGGAGGGGAGCCGGGAACCGAGCTGAGGCCAACGTCACCCGGTGCTCACCCAACACACCGAAATCCACCGACCAGCGGACGGACGAGGTGGAGGCGCCTGCCCCGCCCCCGAATGGCGGGGATGCTTTTACTTTCTGAAAAGGCAGCCAGGGATGCTTGGAAGGCCTCGTACATAGGAGGGCGGGTGTCTAACTCCAGCCGGCAGCCGACTCACCCCGGCGGCTGCACGCAGCCCAGAGCTCCTGATTCGGGGAGTTTGGGCCGAGCCGCGGCCGCGGGAGGCCCCCCGCGCTGGGTTCCGGCGGGGGCGGGAGGCACGGCCCGAGCGGCCGTCCTCCGACTGACGACCTTTCCCGCTCCCGCACGCCAGACCCGGGGCTGGAGGGCCTGAGCTGGGAAGGACGCCGACTGAGGCAGAAAACCTGGCCCAGCGGCGAGCGGGGGACCGAGGCGCTACGGCCGTCAGCTCGCGCACGCGCAGGGACACACCTCTACTTCCGGTTTCTGAGCCGCGCACAACGTAAAGGGCGGGGCCTGGGGATCAGGGGGTGTGGCGAGACGGCAGGTGGGGGCTTCCAGCCGCCGGAGGAAGAGAAACGCTAGTTTCGTGCTGCCGTGAGTCGCGGTTGGGCCCTGGGGCCGACTTGGGGTTGGACCGCGCAGGACTTGGGGTTGGACGGGGCTCAGAGGGGCCTCAGGTGGTTGGCGGGGTTTGGTTGTCTAGGCCTGCGGGGCGGAGCTGGGGCGGGACACCGCCTGGGGGCGTGGTTTAGGGTGGGACCACTCCGAGGGGCGGGGCTTGGTTGAAAATTGTCGGGGAGGGCACCTGGGTGGCTCTGGGGTTGAGCACCTGCCCTTGGCTCAGGTCGTGATCCTGGAGACTGAGGATCGAGTCCCACGTCGGGCTCCCTGCATGGAGCCTGCTTCTCCCTCTGCCTGTGTCTCTGCCTCTCTCCGTGTGTCTGTCATGAATAAATAAATAAATTCTTAACAACAACAAAAAAAAGCAATGGCATTCCAGCTCCTCCTCAGAGGAGCATCAAGACCCCCAACTCTTGGGCCCAGCCAGCTAAAACAATACTTATAGTAACTGAAGTCAAAGGAGTTTACATCCCTGCCCTCCCCAGGAGTCCAAAGAAGGTGGCTACTTTACTGAAGGAATGTTCTAAACCACGAGATAGGTGTGGGGTCCTCCTTACCACAGCTTCTCACCAGGATGCCCACCCCCCCTCCAAGAGGAGGAAAGAGCCCAAACTCCTGCAGGTGATGAGCCACGACAGAGTGCAGGATTCTGGAAAAAACGGGCTGTGTCATCACTGTAAGAACAGAGATGTCTTATGCTCCCCTTGGCCAGTGACCTTCCAAAAAGTGGTAAAAGACAAAAAGGCAAAAGGGGAAGGCAAAAAAAGGAAGAGCTGACTCTTTCTTGGGGGAGGAAATATACATTGTCTCTACTATTAAGGGCCTAACCCAAGAAAGCAGTCTCTCTCTCCGACCCCAGGAAGTGAATACCTTGGGAGGAGGATTAATGAAAAGGTAAATTACCAGCTTAACCAATAAAATGGGCCCACTTTTGCTATAAGATGATACTGTCCTGGGTGTTCTTTCCAGACAGTCCCTTTTCCCATTATTGGAATGGGACCTGCTGAGCCAACCTTCTGAAATAAGCTGAAATCTTGTGCCATTGGTGGGCGCCAGTTGCTGAGAACAAGTTAACCTTCCGTTACTAGTGGAGGTGGTCAATATGCCACAGTATCTACTGGCTGAGGAAAGGCACTGACTTAGTGAAAAAAGGGACACTGATTCCTGCCATTTCATCTTTAGTTCCTGGTGCAGCCTGTGATTAAAGCATAAATAAGGCTGACCATAGACCATAGTTAAACGTGATTATTCCCTTCACTACAGCACCCATACCACATATCACCGCCTTATTGGATGATGTTTGAGCTGAAATTGTGAATTTGGCTAATATGTTCTATTCAATAAAAGTCTCACAGATGAGAAAGGCATCCTCACCCACTGCCCACGTGATGTACTCTCTCTTAAAAAAAAAAAAGATTTTATTTATTTATTTGAGAGAAAGAGAGCATGGGCCGGGGCTGGGGGGGAGGGAGAAGCAGACTCCAAGCTGAGCCTGGAGCCTGATGCAGGGCTCTGGATCCCAAGACCCTGGGATCATGACCTGAACTAAAGGCAGATGCTTAACCTCTGAAGCCACCCAGATGCCCCCATGTTGTGCTCTCTTAAAGGCCTGGAACAAACTTGGGCCTGCTCCCAATACCCAGAAAATAGAATGAATAGAATGAATCCTTTCAGACGAAATAGATAACACCATTTTGGCAATACCCTGGGAGAGGTTTGGGCAGACTCCCCTACTGCCTCCCACAAATGACCATCAACTTTAACCTATGCTCTGTGGCTGTGCCTCTTTGGCTATACTCTGCACTTCTGTTCTGAATGGGGCAGAGCAAAAAGCCCTTTACCTCATCAGAACCTAGGAGTCAATGAGAAACTGTCTTCTGACCATTTCCCAAGAGAGGTGAGTGGGAGATGATATCATAACAGCTCCTTACAGGCCTCCCATCCTATCATGTTCTGGGAGAATCACAGGGCAAACTGCCAAAACTCAGATTTCCCCACAGGTCAAGCTTTTGCCTGCATGGCCTATGTGGATAGATACAAAGTCTCAATGGCACCACAGCTGAGTCATTTCTATACAACTCTGGCCCCAAATTTTTCATGTATCTAGCTAAAAATTCTTTTTAGATGTTTTGGGCTGGGCAGAATAATGCCCCTACCAAAGATGTCCATGTTCTAATCCACAGAACCCATGAATGTATTACTTAGTGTGCCAAAGGGGACTATGCAGATGTGGCTAAATTAAGGTTCTTGAGATGGGAGGGATTATGGAGGTGGGCCTAATGGGCCAGGGATCTTTATAAGTGAAAGAGGGAGGCAGTAGGGTCAGAGCCAGAAGAGATTTGAGAATGGAAGTGGTGATAAGAGTAATTTATGGTTATGAGCCAAAGAATGGAGACAGCCTCCAGAAACTGGAAAGGCAAGGAAATGAATTTTCCCCTACAGTCCCAGAGTAATGTGGACACCTTGTCATGCCCTGTGGACACCCTGAATCTCACCGTGAGACCCATCAGATGCCTGACCTTCACAACTATGAGATAATAAATTTGCTTAAGCTACTAAGTTTCTGGTAACTTGTTACAGAAGCAATAGGAAGCTAACACAGATACTGTAATTAATTGTACCTATAGGGGCTTATGCCAAAATAGATAGTATTTTTTAAGATTGTATTTATTTATTAGAGAGAGAGAGAGAGCAGAGGGAGAGTGAGGGAGGGGGAGAGAATTTGAAGCTGACTCTATGCAGAGTGCAGAGCCCAATATGGAGCTCGATCCCACAACCTTGAGATTGTGCCCTGAGCTGAAACCAAGAGTCATACACTTAACCAGCTGAGCTCTTCACGGACCCATGATTCTGTTCTTTTAGGGAACTTCAGACAAGAATGACCAGGACCATGACTCCCAGTAGAGTAATGAGGGGTACATACTTCAGCCAGGCTCCCCATGCAGAGCCAAGCCAATTAAATCATTAAACTGGGTGCAGCAAGAGGTGTTGGCAGCTGAACACACCCTGCTTCAGCTGGCCAACAGGAAGTCCAAGGTAACACAATTGTTCATTACCACTCATGCAAAAGTATTTGAACACTGTCATCATCTGTGGGAAATATACAAAATAGAACAATAATAATAGGATGAGACCAAAAGGAATCATATTAGTATCCAGAAAGTTAATTTTGTTCTGTTAATTCAAGTTCAGTATCAAGGGAGGCTGCTCCTCCCTGAAGGTTCTTTGAAGTGTCTAAATGTGAACATCCACTTTAGAGGTTACCTTGGTGCACAGAGAGAAATTTTATAGACTGAGACCTTCTTAGAGTTTTAATGTGTCATAACAAATTCAGCATCCCTGTTTTACTGCAATTAAACTCACATCTTCCCATTTCAAGAGATCCTGGAGACGAAAACATTGACCAGATCTCATAAAAATATTTGTTTCCCTAGAGTTTCTGTTTGGGATGATGAAAAAGTTTTGGTAATTGATAGTGGGGTAGTTGGAGAACTTTGTAAATATACTGAATGCCACTGAGTTATACACTTAAAAATGACTAAAGTGGTAAGTTTTAATTTTATTGCAGTTTTTAAAATCATTTGTGTCCTTCACTATCTTATCTCATTGGGTGCATTTTTCTCTGACCAGTGTGTAAGCTACACACTTTCTGATGTCCCAGGAAGAGCAACAGAAGGATCTAGGGAAAGTGTACAAAGGTTTATTTGGGAATAGCAGAGAACTGCAATTTGGGGCAAGCAACCTACAGCAAAGACCATACACTAGTCCAACAAACAAAGGAGAGGAACATTATTTTATAGAGAAGGAGAAACTTGGGAGGGGTTGTTTGAACAAGAGTCCTTTGGAGAAAAAGAAGTGAGGGTGATGATAGTTTCTCATTGACTGAGTTGCTAGAGTAGTCTATTTCTTTTTTTTTTAATTTTTTATTTATTTATGATAGTTACAGAGAGAGAGAGAGGCAGAGACACAGGCAGAGGGAGAAGCAGGCTCCATGCACCGGGAACCCGACGTGGGATTCGATCCAGGGTCTCCAGGATCGCGCCCTGGGCCAAGGGCAGGCGCCAAACCGCTGCACCACCCAGGGATCCCGAGTAGTCTATTTCTTGTAGGAGATGCAATGTGCATCTTCTGTTGGGGTCTGTAATTTCCTGTTGAGGATTCTTCCGTAGGGAAATTTATAATTGATCATTCTTACAGTGACTAAGGAGTGGTACCCCGTGAGAGCGTCCCCTCTGGCCTCCTGACTGCATTTTAGTGAAGTTTCTCTTCCCACAAGAGAATAAATTACAATTCTATTAGATAAGCAGGTTCACTATCTAGTCCATGACATATCCCTGGGAGGCCAATCCCTCAAGCCAAGGCAAATTACAGCAATTCAAAATTCTCTCCCTTTGCACTAAAAGACAATTTAGAGGATTCCTAAGACTTATTATAGGCTGTCCATTCCCAGTGTAATGTCATACCTGCCTCCGTCTATGACATGACTAATGACATCCCTTAAGCTTTGCCATGGCTAATATTGAGAACTTTTCCACTCTGGGTCTCCCAAATTATAATATGTGTGTGTATTGTTGTTGTTGTTGTTGTTTTTCTTCTTACCTGAAAGGGATGGTCAAACTCTTGGGCTTTTTTTTTTTTTAAGATTTTATTTATTCATGAAAGACAGAGAGAGAGCACGAAAGACAGGCAGAGGGAGAAGCAGGCTCCCTGCAGGGAGGGAGCCTGATGCGGGACTCAGTCCCTGGACCCCGGGGATCATGACCTGAGCTGAAGGCAGGCGCTCAACCACTGAGCCACTCGGGAGTCCCAAACTCTTGACCTTTTAACTCAAAATCATAATAGAAATCAGAGGTCCATTAGGCATAACAGTTGCTTTTCTAACCCAGTAAAGAAGACAGTAGACTCAGCCACACATCTAGACAAGCCATCTTATTTAAAATTAGGGTCACCTCTTTACCTCCAGTGTAGTATCAGAATGAGGTGCCTCTTACCTCAAGTGCAGTTGGCAGCTCCCTTCCCAGGTAAGGGGAATCACAGGCAGGAGAGTGAACTATGTTGGGGGAAAAAAAAAAAAAGAATCATGAGGGAGCCCCTGGGTGGCTCAGTGGTAGAAAACCTGCCTTTGGCTCAGGTCGTGAACCACAGGTCCTGGGATTGAGTCCCGAGTCCAGAACCACAGGTCCTGGGATTGAGTCCCGAGTCCGGCGTAGGACTCCCTGCGGGGAGTCTGCTTCTCCCTCTGCCTACATCTCTGCCTCTCTCTGTGTGTGTTTCTCGTGAATAAATAAAATCTTTTTTAAAAAAGAATCATGAATAGTGAATTTATGTTGCTATAGGAAAAGCTCAATTGCAGCTATGCAGCTATGCAGTATTCATTGTCTCCGCGGGAAACATTCAGCAACAGTTGTGCAATGAAGAGTATGATGCATTCATGCCTGCACCAAGATTCGTTGTTTTTAAGATTTTATTTATTTATTCATGAGAGACACAGAGAGAGAGGGAGGCAGACACACAGGTAGAAGAAGAAGCAGGCTCCATGCAGGGTGCCCGATATGGGATTCGATCCCGGGATTTGAAAGCAACTGTTATTCAACTAAGATGTCTAAGAGAACCGGGCTGGGGAGGAAAGTAAAGCGGTTCCCACTCAGAGTCCTCCAGCGGTTGGTAGAACTGGGGGCCGCGCAGCCCGCCCTTTCCCCGAGGCCCCTCCCTTCCCCGAGGCCCCGCCCCCGAGGCCCCGCCCCTTGCGCGGTTGGCGGAGACCAGAAAGGCGCGTGCGCAGGGCGGCGGCCATCTTGGCCGCGCGCCACTCTCGCGTCTGAGGGGGCGCCGCGCCCGGCCTCTGAGAGGCCCCGCGGGAAGGAAGGCGTCCAGGAGGGAGGCGCGGGGTCAAAGGTTCCTTCCTCAAGAGCCGCGGCGAATTGGGCCCTCGGGGCGGCGTCCGTAGCCGGCCAGGCCTTTTCTGGTCGCGGTGACTCGGGCTGTAGCGTCCCCCGCCCCCGGTAGCCTGGCGGTTGTGTCCCTTGTGGGGCGGGCACGCGGTGCTCTTGGGAATGTCGGTTATTGAAGTTGGGTAAGTTCTCCGGTGGAGAGGGGGGCCCTGGCGGGTCATTAAGGGGCACCTGTGTGTGACATAAATAAATGCAGGAGTGCAGGGATTCGCCTGAGTAGGAAGCCGAGCGCCGCGGAGTCCTGTCAACGCCCGGAGCTTCGAGCGTAGGAGTCCCTGAGGGAAGGACGAGGCGGGCCGGCTGCCCTTAGCTGGAACCGAGTCGACCCAGAGTAGGAGGAGTTTGGACAGGTGGGTGTTTCTTGCGGGTATTCGTCTGGAAATACCTCCTCAAAATCTGTAGCGGCAATCAAATGAACATCCGTGGAACCATATCCCTGTTCCCCAATTGTTAAGATTTTGTCTCTCCTTATACGTATTGTTACGATTAACTTTTATTTATTTATTATTTTTTTAAGATTTTATTTATTTTTTCATGAGAGACACAGAGACAGAGAGGCAGAGACACAGGTAGAGAGAGAAGCAGGTTCCATGCAGGGAGCCCGACATGGGACTTGATCCCGGGTCTCCAAGATCACACCCTGGGCCAAAGGCAGCGCTAAACTGCTGAGCCACCCGGGCTGCCCCGATGAACCTTTTTTTAAAAAAATTTTTTATTCATGAGAGAGAGAGGCAGAGACATAGGCAGAGGGAGAAGTAGGCTCCATGCGGGGAGCCCGATGTGGGACTCGATCCCAGGACCCCAGGACCAGGACCTGAGCCAAAAGCAGGTATCTGCTCCACCGCTGAGCCCCCCAGGCGTCCCATTTTTAGTATGTTTTATTTAATCCAACTTACCTAGTTATCAAAATTACTCGTGAAATTAACAAGAGAATTATTAATGAGGAATTTTACATTTGTTTCCTTTTGTAATAAGTTGCTGGAACCCAGTGTAGACGCTGGATCTCAGTGCGGATGCTAAGTTTTCATTGGAAATTCTTGATCTGTATTTAGCTCTTACTGTTTTGCTGTTGAAAAGGATCTCCGGGGGATCCCTGGGTGGCTTACAGCAGTTTAGCTTCGCCTTCAACCCAGGGTGTGATGCTGGAGACCCGGGATGGAGTCCCGCATCGAGCTCCCTGCATGGAGCCTGCTTCTCCCTCTGCCTGTGTCTCTGCCTTTCTCTCTGTGTCATGGATAAATAAATAAAATATTAAGAAAAAAAAAAAAAGAAAAGAAAAGGATCTCCAAGCCTAGATTGTTCAAACATACTGAAAAGCTTTTTTTAGTAACCGAATCAATTTTATTTCTAAATTCTAATTAGTTAAAAGTAGGTAAGATTAAGAATCTAAGCCCTCAGTCACACTAGCCACATTTCTGCCAGAGAACCAGCCAGTCGCTGCCCGGTTAAGACTGCAAGTTTAGCCACTTGGACGTTTCTGTGTACTTTGTAACATACCCCATCGGGAAGCAGGTGAGTTCAAGTTGTCCCATGGTTTATTAGGGATGAGAAGCATTTAGTCAAGGTGCACTTCTCTCATAGCCTCATACTTTCGTTGCAGTATTCCTTGGGTGATACTTGGCAGCAGGGGAATCTGTTCCCTAACTATCTTTCATCGGAGGGTTTCATATCACTTGTCAGTCTTTGCCTCAGTCTCTTTTTGCATGGTGGGAGGAGAGGTTACAAAATAATGTTTTTCCTAATTCTGTCATTCTTTTTCCATTCTTTAGCTATGCAGCTTTCTTTTCCCACCTCCCCGTCTGCACTTTTTTCTTTTTGGAGGATCACAATGTATTCTTGGACTTTTCTTTAATTCACTATGTTATAATCAATTGCAGTCATTTATTTTGATGCTCAGACTGTCCCATATTTGCCCAAGGGTAGTCCTTAAATCCCATGTCCCTTCAACATAACTATTAGTCTTTAAGTGTAAAATAAATCCCCAGTTCACTTTGTACTTTCTTGTTACAGACTTGTCATCAGTGATTTCTCCAAAAAGCCTTTTTTCTTTTAGATACCAAAATCTGTGATAAATGGGCTCGGTGCTACTCGGGTATAATCATGTCTAGGCCTTTCAGTGGATGTCTAAAATACACATTTCCTTACATCTTAAGTTCATACTCCTATTCCCTGTAAAAATTTAGTATTACATGGGGGTTTTTGCCTTGTTTTATTTTATACTTGTGTCTCTTTTCTGTTAAGAAATCTTGGTTCCTAATAGCATTAATGTATCATTTTATACTATAGTGTATGTATAGTAGTTTTAAAAATTGTAATACCAAGACACCTGGTTGAGTGTCAGCCTTTGGCTCAGGGCATGATCTCAGGTTCTGGGATTGAGTCCCTCATCAAGGGAGCCTGCTTCTCCCTCTGCCTATGTCTGTCTGTCTGTCTCTCTCTCTCTCAATGAATGAATGAATGAATGAGTAAAAATTGTAATACCAATATTACTATCAACTGTAGACTTAGTAAACTGTTTAGTTTCTTTGCATTTCTTTTTGTCCTTATAGATTTATATTAAGGATGTAAAGTTCAGAGTACCATGCCCAAATATGTGCATGAACTTTGAGTCTTTTCTCTGCATGGTTATCAGTTTGATACACTTCAGAAGTAAAGGCAAATTGCAGCTGAGAGGCTATTTAAATAGACACTGGGGACGCCTGGGTGGCTCAGTGGTTGAGCATCTGCCTTTGGCTCAGGTCATGATCCCAGGGTTCTGGGATGCAGTCATCATCGGGCTTCCTGCAGGGAGCCTGTTTCTCTCTTTGCCTATGTCTCTGCCTCTCTCTATGTCTCCCATGAATAAATAAGTTAAAAAAAAAAAAGGACACTGAACAGAATATGTTAGCCCAATCTGTAAGAGCAAAATTTTTACTGGTTATTGATTAGATGAATCCAGTAATTTGAATAATATTGAATGTTGAGTACAGCACCCTAATAGATGGACCACAGTGTTACCGTTATAGTAATACACCATAAGACACCTTTAGTTTTTTCCAGGTTTAAGAAGAAGCAAAATTGGGCTGTTAAATGGAGAAGCAGTTGGAAATAATCACTCCTTTATTAATTAGATTTTACATAATTTTGCATCCTTGAAGGCCATGTTTTAAATTAATTGGGCCTATTAACTATTTTACCTGGGGAGTCTATGGGGTTACATTTTAATAAGCCTACCTGTGTGTGCTAAAGATTGAATTTTAAATTATCATTCTTATGTTAGAGCATCTATGTCCAATATGGGATATTTCAGGGCACTGGGTACTGTGACTAAGGGAGATTTAGGCAAGGTGTTAAAATATTCAGGGACATTTGTTGAAGATAGTAAGGCAAACTTTTTCTCTAGGTATAGGCACCACTGTGATGGGATTTTATAGTGTAGGAGAGAGACTGAGCTCAATTCCAAATGAATAGAGCATGGGCAAGTAGAAATCTATAGCCAGGGATCAGAGTAGAGGTTAATGAATAGAAAATTATTAAGAGGAAAAAAAAAAGAAAATTATTAAGAGGAAGGAGGAGGTAAGGAGGATTCTGGCTAAAATAGCCTAACAAGATTCATACTAAAGACAGATCAGGGCAGCTTGGGTGGCTCAGCAGTTTAGCGCCCCTTCAGCCCAGGATGTGATCCTGGAAACCCAGGATCGAGTCCCGCGTCAGGCTCCTTGCAGGGAGCCTTCTTCTCCCTCTGCCTGTGTCTCTGCCTCTCTCTGTGTGTCTTCCATGAATAAGTAAATAAAATCTTAAAAAAAAAAAAAAATCAGAGTGATCAGACATCACCTGGGAAATGGGTAGAGGATGAGGAATCTGATCAGATATTGAGGGTGATCATGTATTCAGAGTTCTAGGCAAACTGACTTAGCATTTTTGCTAAAACTGATTTTATAGGGAGGGGCACAGATAGGCCTAGATGTTGGATGGAAGATGCTAGACACAAATTAATGCATAACATGACTTGATATGTTCAAAAACAGATAAAATTACAGTGTTAGAAGTCAGAATAGTGCTTCCATTTGAAGAAGAGAAAGGAGCAATTTAGATGAAGCATATGAGTGCTTCAGAGGTGGAAAAATTCATGATAATGTACTGTACACTTGATGTTCTACACTTGTTTGAATGTATAATTCAATACAATGTTTGAAAAATGAACTCAACTATAATTTCCAAGTGTTTCAAAAGACCAATAAAAGGAACATAAAGCATAAATAATAAAAATGAAAGTATAAGGAAGGAAGGAAGGAATTTTAAAAAGGCAAATTTTAATGAAAAAAAGAACTAAGAGGGACGCCTGAGTGGCTGAGTGGTTTAGCGCCACCTTCAGCCCAGGGCGTGATCCTGGAGCCCCGGGATCAGGTCCCATATCAGGCTCCCTGCATGGAGCCTGCTTCTCCCTCTGCCTGTGTCTTCTCTGCCTCTCTCTCTCTCTCTCTCTCTCGAATATATAAGTAAAATCTTTTTTTAAAAAAAGTGGGTTTATTTTATTTTATTTTTTTATTTTATTTATTTATTTTTGGGGGGGGGTTAAGAAGAAAATAAATTTTGGGGAAAATCTGGTTTAGCACTCCACCTGCTCGCAACATTTTATACTCTTTGGTTAAGACCTGGGGGATTGGTCAGATCTCTTACGTGAATGTTTCTAAGCTGATAGGCCACTGAAGTAGAGCAATATTTGAAATGAGTTCTGAGTTTATTTTGTTTACCATGGAATTCTGCTTTGGAACAAAAGTTGAATATTACTTTTTAGGCTAGTAGGATGTCAGTTTTTCAAGAGTCTTCTGAAATTGTTGTTTTTCTATTGTCTTTATCTTTTATAGAGCTAGTCCTGCATTTGCTAAGAAAAATCCTTGGGTGTGTTTGTATATATGTTGAAGGCAGAGGATAATGTTCCTTATCTGTTCATATTTTTTCCCTAACACTTATCACCAACTAATAGAAGACATATATTGTTTATAATCTATTTAGCTCTTTGGGATGTGGAAAATCTAAGTATAGGACATTTTCTGTCAGTTCACTGTGCTGTCCTAGTAGCTAGTGTATTATGTAGCAAAGGGAAGAACTTTAATAAATATTTGCATAATGAATGAAGGCATAAGCTGATATAAGGACTTGGAGGAAGGCAACTGGGTCTATATGATTTTGCCAACTGGAGGAGCTCAAAGATGTCTGAATTAAATAAGCCGTTTATGCTTGGGATCCCAAGACCACCTTCGTGCTCAGCAATGCGGTGGGACTCCCAAGACTCATGCTGTTAAACCCACCATTATAGTTTATTAAAACCAAAGGATACATATCAGAATCAGCAAAGGGATAAGACACATGGGATTAATTCCAGAACAAACTAGGCACAAGCATCCAGGTGTCTTTTCCCAGTACAGTCAAATGGGCATTGCTTAATATTCCTAGTAATAATGTGTAACATCCCATATGAAATATTGCCAACCAAGGAAACTCACCTGACATATTAGGTTATTCAGCTGGATTGCTGCAACAAAAATACTACAGATTGGGGGGCTTATAAACAACAGAAATTTCTCATAGTTCTGTAGGCTGGCAAAATCAAGATCAAAATGCCTGCAGATCTGGTGTCAGGTGAGGACCTACTTGTTAATGGAAGGCAGTCTTCTCACACGGCAGAAGGGGTCTCTTATTTTTTTTTTTAATTTTTATTTATTTATGATAGTCACACAGAGGGAGAGAGAGAGAGAGGCATAGACACAGGCAGAGGGAGAAGCAGGCTCCATGCACCGGGAGCCCGACGTGGGATTCGATCCCAGGTCTCCAGGATCGCGCCCTGAGCCAAAGGCAGGCGCCAAACTGCTGCGCCACCCAGGGATCCCCAGAAGGGGTCTCTTATAAAATCACTAATCCCATAATTAAAAGGCCCCATCTCCAGACACCATCACACTGGGGATTAGGTTCCAATATGCAGAGAGGCAGGGAGGTACAGACATTTAGTCTGTAGTCCCTGAGCTTTGGTGTCCGAGTTTTTATTGTGGGTCAGTTGCATAGGCATGCACCACCTGCATGGCTGACTTAGACACAATCCAACCTGAGTTCCAACTGTTAGAACATTGCCCAAAGTCTCAGGTGTATAAAAACAGATGTTCACCATAAATCACATTGTTAGCCTAAACTATCCGGGCAAACTGTTACTGTGTGGTCCAAGGCTTCAGGTGTACAAAAACATTATCAGGCCGGGTATTCCATGGTTTTGGGTCATCTTGTAGATGTCCCGGCAAGAGTAGGTCTCAGACAGGCCTTTCTCAGGGAAGTGCAGGACTTGAGCAACACACACCTGCTGAGTTAATCATTTTTGCACATCACTTTATGATCATTGTCCAGGTGTGTTAGAGAATAACAGTAACTTCAGGAATTCAAGCTTTTGAGATAGAGTAACCTGTATCCAGACTCTGGCTCTTCCTAATTGATGATCTTGGGCCAGTGACTATTTTTGTCTAGTGTAAAGTGCCTTAACTGAAGAATGACAGTAATAATAATTATGTTGATAATCATATGAGTTACTATTGCTTCTAGTACCTAGTAGGCATTCAGTAAATGATGATTGTTATTTATATTCATGTGGTATACTACTCTACAATTTTTAATGGCTTTCACTAATATAACTTCATCTTCTACAGAGAGCTGACTAATGAATGATGCTTCATGACAGCTGAGTAATGCCTGTTGCTTAAAGGCTGATGGTATGTGGTAAGATTCCACCGCTACTTAAGAGGAATTGAGATTGACCTATCCACTAAGTTCAGACACTGTCTTGAAGGACTTTGGAAAAAAGAAAAGTTCAGGCAGATTCTGCTGTCATACCCACGGGATGCCAGCCATTGATCTTTTCTCTTGTGGTAAGCCCTTGTTGATGCTCCTGTCAGAGATTGCTTTACCTGGCCTGTGAACAGCCTGTCTTGTGGTCAGGGTCTAAACAGGCCTGTTTCTATGCTGTCTAGGAGGGGGCCTAAAGAGATAAGAACATCCTGATTTCTACATCCTGGAATTTGGGAAGGAGAATTGAGGATGGGCATTTTTGTGGGAGAGGGTCTCCTTGATCACATGATGAGATTCATTATTTTTGGCCAAAGAAAACAACAACTTTACCTCTCTGGACTTCAAGTGTCTTTTTCTGAAAAATGGGATTATTAAACTTTTCCTCCCAAAGCTCTAAACCCTTCTTCTGATTTCAAATAAGGCAGTTTGCTTGGGTATTTTATGGCAATAGCATGTGTGTCAATTCAGAATTAGTGTGGAGTAGCTTCTAGCCTGAGTGGAAACTGCACGACCTGGGTTCTCAGGTTTTTTTTTTCTTCTCCCCAAGGTCATCTTTCTCAAGATTTTTTCTGTCTTCATGAGGAAAAGTCAGAAGGGGAAAGGATAGTGACCAAGTGTCTTATAAATTATTGTCAGGTAAGTAGGAACTTTATTCTTTTATAAAAGTACATGCTTCTGGAGTGCCTGGCTAACTCAGCCAGTTAAATTTCTGCCTTCATCTCAGCTCCTGATCCCAGGGTCCTGGAATTGAGTCCCACATCAAGCTCCCAGTCCAGCAGAGAGTCTGCTTCTCCCTCTACCCCACCCCTAACCAGCCAGCTTATGCTCTCTCACTTGTTCACTCTCAAATATTTTTTTTTAAAGTACATATTTCTTCCTATTAAGTAGATATGTTTTCTTCTAGTGGAATGGAATTTCTTTAGATATATATAAGGCCTGCTTAAGGACTTGAGTAGCCAGTTAAATCTCCTTATGTTTTAGGATTTTTTAATGAGGTTGACAAATGACATAGGGAAATGATATTATTATCCCAGTATTTACTAATTCAGTCCAGCTCACATCTATGCTGATTGTGTGCTCTCATTGTGCTATGATACACTGTGACAGAGTGAACATATGTTTCTCAGAATTTGTGCTATCACTGGAGTAATCATTCACCACCATTTATTGTGTCTATAATGTGTTCAGACTATGGTAAGTCCTGTCAATAGAGGAGAATAAGACTAGAAAAGTTGTGGTGAGATACATTCAATTGGGTGAAAGAGGTGCTCTTAAAGCTATATGACTGGATGATGTCACCAGTGAATATGTCCAGATAGGAGAATGGGCATGAGGACTAACAAGCCCTGGGAGAGATGATGGAGAACATGGAATGCTGTCTAAGCTTTAGGTCTCCCATTTTCTTCATTGAACACGGATTTAGATGGTGACTGCCTGATGCTGGGATGTTTGTGGTGATTTAGGACCCAGTGACCTTTGACGATGTGGCTGTGGAATTCACCCAGGAAGAGTGGACTTTGCTGGATCAAACTCAGAGAAGGCCATACAGAGATGTGGTGCTGGAGAACTACAAGAATCTAGCTTCAACAGGTAAGGCTGGTACCATATCTTCATTTCGCTTTTTCTGCAACAAATCTTTAAGTGACGGTGTTCTAGACTCTGCTGACTAATGGCAATGCAGCAGTTAAAAAAAAAGGAGAAACATTGTTTTTGTTTTTGTAGATCTTACATTGAAGTGGCTTCCTCTTGAAAATGAAGATGTTTTTATTTCCTGTATGGAATGAAAGACTTAGGACTTCAAAATGTTTTAACATACGAGTTTGAGCCTGGGTTTCAGGGGGAAAGATGGGCATCCCTTTTGGTGAACGATGAGGGAGTATATGTTTGCATTTTAGTTTCATTTGGAAGTTTATTGGTTTGATACAGTTGTTGTCACAAACATTTTATTGTTTCTCAAGTTATAACTGACAGTATTTGGTATTCCTGAAGGGCAGAATCTTGGTCCTGATTTATGGAATTATTTGTCATCCCTTTAGTGTTCTTGTATCAACCTTCTTTCTCTGCTAGTCAAGCACCAAGTGTGCAGACCAGGTCTGATCTTTCAGGTGGAACAAAAAGGAGAGTGGAGGATGGTGGGAAGAGTTCTATAAAGTAAGGGAAAGAGGAGAGGTTATTTAAAAAACAAAAACAAAAACAGGAATCCATAAGAGTTGCAGTCTATTTGGAAATGTGAAATAAGCTTTTGAAGGTGAATTTTTCCTGAGAATGCTAGTACCTTTGGTTTCTCTGGTTCCTTGGGTACTTCAGACTTTTTTTTTAAATAATAAATTTATTTTTTTATTGGTGTTCAATTTGCCAACATACAGAATAACACCCAGTGCTCATCCTGTCAAGTGCCCCCATCAGTGCCCGGCACCCATTCACCCCCACCCCCCGCCCTCCTCCCCTTCCACCACCCCTAGTTCGTTTCCCAGAGTTAGGAGTCTTCAGACTTCAACTTCTTACCCACTTTTCTGAAATTTCCTTTTGGCCTGACAGTAAGATCTATTTCTTCTTTAAATTTTGCGTTTAGCTCTTTATCCATTTCCTTTCAGCTTGCTTTCCTGGTTATGGTGCTTTTTGTTCACCATCAGTCTCAATATTTATAGAGTCATTTCTTAAAATACCAACCAATTTGATCAGGACTTTATCATTGCCAAATTCTTTTTTTTTTTTAAGATTTTATTTATTTATTAACGAGAGACACAGAGAGAGAGAGCAGCAGAGGGAGAAGCAGGCTCCACACAGGGAGCCCAACGTGGGACTCGATCCTAGGTCTCCAGGATCAGGCCCTGGGCTCAAGGCGGCGCTAAACCACTGAGCCACCTGGGCTGCCCCCAAATTCTTTTTTTTTTTTAATTTTTATTTATTTATGATAGTCACAGAGAGAGAGAGAGGCAGAGACACAGGCAGAGGGAGAAGCAGGCTCCATGCACCGGGAGCCCGACGTGGGATTTGATCCCGGGTCTCCAGGATCGCGCCCTGGGCCAAAGGCAGGTGCTAAACCGCTGCGCCATCCAGGGTTCCCCTCCAAATTCTTAATATAGACAGATTTCTCAATCTCTATATATTCATTTCCTTTAATTTTGTAATCTGTTTTAAGTCAGACTTTGAAAGTAAGTACACATCAGTCTTTATTTTTAACACTTTCCTTCCATCATTTATTTTTCCAAGACCTTAATGTTTTTTTTTTTTTAATCTTATTTCAGATTGGGAGATTTGTCTTAATTCCAATGGTCAGCACCTCAGCAGAATATTTTGCAGGGGAAAACACCCAGTGTGGTAGAAATGGTAAGATTCACAGTGTGTAATACTTTGCCTTCCACATCAATGGAAGATTGGAAATTCCATAAAATAGAAAAGCAGCATGATAACCATAACAGACATTTGGGGCTAGGTTATTCATCCCAAACAAAACTGTTTCTCACAGAGTCTGAGCGTTATGAATTTGACACTTTAAATACTCCCTAAGATATATTCACACAGTATTCACTTAGTATTTCCATATATATAATTCAGATAAAGTTTTGGATAATTTCATCTCAGTCAGTTATCAGCTAAGCTCTCTAAGAATACCTGCGAAAGTAAAGACTATTACAGAACTTTTTAGCAGAATGGTCACTTTATTCTGTTTGAAAGCACTCAGGTCTGGAACCCTGCACTGCATGCAGTGAAAATTGAAGAAAAAACAAAAACTAAAGTCATACTGGTGTGTTTCATGTATAGTATAACAGAATTCAAGATAGAGGGGAGGATCTCTGAATATAATAAAGCTGGATAACTTTTATAAGTCATCACTAATTTCTTCATCAACAGGAAAGAAGCCATATTGGAGAGGAAATTGTTTAATTTTAACCATTGGGAAAAGGCCTTCAGTGAACACTCCTGCTTTAAGATTTACAGATTACTCACATTAGAAAACTTGTGAGTGCAATCAGTGTGTAAAAGCCTTCACAACTCTGCTCTTAATGTACACAACAAAACCCATAGTAGAAGCTTTATAAGTATAATCAGTGTGAAACCATCTTCAGCCAAAATCCACATCTGGTTCACAAGAAAACTTAGACTCACAAGAAACTGACTGTGGGAAAAGCATTCCTTCATCCTCACACTGTAATGTAAGAATTCATAGAATTCATGAATTCATAGAATTCATAGAGGCTGTATGCCTTTAAGGAATGTAGGAAAGCTTTTTCACATTATGTAGGCTTTTTTGTACATATGCAAGTTAACAGAAAAAATCCTACAAATATAAAGAATGTGGGAAAACCTTTATTTGATCTTCATGTCTTAATTCAACATTTAAGAACTCAAAGTGGAAAAAAAAAGAATTCAAAGTGAACTGATGCCTATGGAATGTAAGAAATTTGAGAAAGCTTTTCCTTATTCCCCAAATCTTGCTAAATGTATACAATTTCATAGAGAAACACTGTTTGCAAGGAGCATAGTAAAGAGTTTACTTGCTTCCCAAAACTCAATATTCACATGTGAGTTCACACTGGAGAAAAACCCTCTGAGTGTAGTAAATGTCAGAAAACCTTCACTGATTATTCAAGTCTTAGAAAACACAGAACTCACACTGGAGAGAAGCCCTGTAAATGTAAGGAATGTGGAAACGCCTCACTATATAGTTTCTCATACCTTACTATACATATAAGAACTCACACTGGCAAGGAACCTTAACAATATAAGGAACATGGGAAATCCTCTAGTAACTCCTCTTGTTTTAAAAGTCACATGCAAACCCACCTTGAGTAAAACCCTATAATTATAATCAGTGTGGGAAAGCCTTTATTTGATCATCATTTCTTACTCAATATTGAGTAATAGTGTAGAAAGACTTTTTGAGTGTAAGGAATATGGGAAATCATTTAGATATTCCACACACTTTAGTCAACATAAAAGAACACATACTGGAAAGAAGCCATATCAATGTAAAAAGCGTGGGAGAGCCTTCACTATTTCATCAGGCATTATAGTACACATGAGAACTCACACTGGTGGATGACCTTGTGGATGACCTTTTGAATGTAAGGACTGTGAGAATGCCTTTACCGTCCACATACCTTATTCAACATTTAAGAATTCACAGTGGGAAAGAAAAATGTAATAAAAACATTAAAAAAAAAAAAAAGAATTCACAGTGGGGGGAGAGAGACTGCCTGGGTGGCTCAGTGGGTTAAACATCTGCCATCCCCCCCCAAGTCTTGATCCCAGCGTCCTGGGATCAATTCCTGCATCGGGCTCCCTGCTCAGGAGAGAGCCTGCTTTTCTCTTTCCTGTTTCTCCCTGTGCTTGTGCACACACACACACACACACACACACTCACTCTCTCTCTCTCTCTCTCTCAAATAAATAAAATCTTAAAAACTCAATAGAGAGAAGCCACATAGAGATGAGGGATGTGGGAAAACCTTTTAGTACTTCTTTATTCGTTAATGAATGTATAAGATTGCACACTTGAGAAAAGTTTATGCTTACAGAGAATATGGGAAAGCCTTTTTACTTTATCTTATAAAACATACTAATTCACAGTGAAGGTGACCTTATTAATAAGGAATATAGAAATCCTTTAGCTTTGCCTTATACTTTACTATTCAGCTGTGATATCATAGGTATGAAAAGTCTTGCAAATGTAAAAAGTGTAGGATTAAAAAAAAATTTTTATCCTCCACTTTGGAAAAATAAGAAAGCACACATTAGGAAAGATCCCATGAGAGAAAGGGATATAGGAAGACCTTTGATTGTTCTTTGTTATTAGGAAACATTATTCACACTGGAGAGGAACTGTAAATTATAAATGTAGGGAATGTGGAAAAGACTTTATGTTACACGGAATAAGTCACTTAGTCTGTGAACGTAAAAACTTCTTTCAGTAAATATCTTACATGTATTTTTTACAAAAATTGATATCCTAAAAGGGTTTTTTATTTTTTTTATTGGAGTTCAATTTGCCAACATATAGCATATCACCCAGTGCTCATCCTATCAAGTGCCCCCATCAGTGCCCATCACCCAGTCACCCAAACCCCCGCCCACCTCCCTTTCCACTACCCCTAAAAGGGTTTTTTAAATGAAAAATCTTAAAGGGAAAGAAAGAAAAACCTTTGTTACAAAAGATGTTTTGTTTTGTTACAAAAGGTTTTAAAATAAAACCTAAAAGTGTAAAAATTTGGTAAAGTTTTAGAGTACAAATTTTTACTTACTACATACAAGAAAATTGATACCAGAAAAGAAAACCATTTTTATTTAAATGAGTTGACTCTGCATGTGTCTCTTCTTAAAGTAGACCTGTAGATTTAAAGACCAATAATGTTGAACATCTTTTCACGTATTTGTCATCCATTTATCTCTGGTGAATTGTATGTTCAAATATATTTTTTCTTGTTAAGAGTCTTTGGTTTGTTATTATTTTTAAGATTTTATTCATTTATTCGTGAGAGACACAGAGAGAGAGGCAGAGACACAGGCAGAGGGAGAAGCAGGCTCCACGCAGGGAGCCCGATGTAGGACTCAATCCTAGAACTCCAGGACCATGCCCCAGACTGAAGGCAGGCGCTAAACCGCTGAGTCACCCAGCGATTCCCTGGTTTATTATTGAGTTTGGTTTTCTTAACAGGTTTATTGAGGTATAATTGCTATGCAATAAACTATACGTATTTTAAGTGTATGACTTAAGTTTTGATGCATGCACACATTCATGAAACTATCAATTGTTTTTCTGTACACTAGCAATGAATAAATAGAATTTGATATTTCAAACACAATACTATTTATATCAGCACAACAAAAGTCTAGGGAAAATTATAAAACTGATGAACAAACCCAAAGAACTAAATAAATAGGTATTTAATGTTCATGGATAGACTCTATATTGTCAAGATGTTAGTTCTTCCCAACCTGACCAATAGATTCAATCCAATCAAAATTGCAGCTACTTATTTTGTGGATATTGACAAACTGATTCTGATGTTTATATGGAGATGCAAAAGACCCAAATTGACAACACAGTATTGAAGGAGTAGAACAAAGTTGGAGGACTGAAACTACGTGGCTTCAAGATTTCATATAAAGCTACAGTAAGCCAGCCTCGTATTTGGTAAGAGAATAGACAGATTGATAGAACTGAACACAGCTGAGAAATAGGTCCACATAAATAGCTGATCTTTTGACAGAAGAGCAAAAGCAATGGAATGGAATAAAGATAATTCTTTCCAACAGATGATGCTGGAACAACTAGTCATCTACATGGAAAAGAATGAATCTAGATCCTGAACACTCTTCATAAAAATTAACTCAAAATGCATTGTAAACCTAAGTGGAAAATATGCAACTATAAACCCCTAGAAGATAATATAGGGGAAACCTAAATGTTATTGGGTATAGCGATACCTTTTTTTTTTTTTTTTTAAGATTTTACTTATTTATTCATGAGAGACAACAAAGAGAGGCAGAGACATAGGCAGAAGGAGAAGCAGGCTCCATGCAGGGAGCCCGACGTGGGGCTTGATCCCCGGTCTCCAAGATCACGCCCTGGGCCGAAGGTGGCGCTAAACCACTGAGCCACCTGGGATGCCCATCCTTTTTATTTATTTATTTATTTATTTATGATAGTCACACACACACAGAGAGAGAGAGAGGCAGAGACACAGGCAGAGGGAGAACCAGGCTCCATGCACCAGGAGCCCGCCGTGGGATTCGATCCCGGGTCTCCAGGATCGCGCCCTGGGCCAAAGGCAGGCGCTAAACCGCTGTGCCACCCAGGGATCCCAAGGATGCCCATCCTTTTTAAATATAAAACTGAAAACTCGATCTATAAAAGAAATAATTGGTAAACTGGACTTTATTAAAATTAAAAACGTTCTGTTAAAGACGTCAGGACTGTGGCAAGCATGGATTTGGAGAAAATATTTGCGAAAGACACATTTGGATAAAGGACTGTTACTCAAAATACATAAGGAACTCTTAAAACTCAACATTAAGAATAGCCTTTCAAAAATGGGCCAAAAACCTTAACACGCTTCACCACAGATAACAAATGGCAAATAAGCATTTGTGAAAAGATGTTCCACATCATGTCATCAGAAAAATACAAATTAAAATGGGATATCCCCACACATCTATGGGAATGGTCGAAATCTGGAGCACTAATAGCACCAAATGCTTCTTTGCTGGTGGGAATACAAAATTGTACAAGTGCTTTGGAATAGTTTGGTCGTTTCTTATAAAATTAAACATTCTATAAAATTATCCAGTAGACAGGGTCCTTGGTATTTATCCAAAGAAGTTGA